GACCTGCCCCCTTGTAACGGACCTGCCCCCTTGTAACGGACCTGCCCCCTTGTAACGGACCTGCCCCCTTGTAACAGACCTGCCCCCTGCAGGTGCGGTGGGCAAGCGGGGCGTGGGTCGCCCCCCTCAGGAGGATGCCGCCCCTACACAGGCCTCCACCAACGGCGCCCAGGTGCTCGTCTCCATACGGCGCCTTGTTCTCCTCACACTGTCAGAAAAATTACCGTTAACGGTATTACCGGCGTTTGAGTGGCCGGTCGGCGCGTGAAAAGGAACACCGTGTCGCCGTTTTTATTCTAATTTAACACTAGAAATCCGTAAAACATCCGATAAAAGCGGCGAAACAGTTTATTTTCACGGGGCGAACGGCCACTAGAACGCCAGTGGGACCGTTTTTTCTAACAGTGCTGAAGTCGACATGAATTCAATGTCGCGTCTTGCCAAGGCATTGATTTAGCGCTGAATTTTCCTGCCAAATTTCTACAAAGACACGAAACTTAACGAAATGAATCTTGGACCACAATAACACGAACTTGATATAGCATATTTATATATAATATTTTTTAATAGCGTGGATTACGCACATGTTAATCATGTATCAAGGATAATAACTAGACAAGCTATGTTATTTGCACTGTAACTATTCTTAAATACTAGGCATATAGTAATGTTTTATGCATGTCACATGCTATATACATATCACATGTATCGCCTCTGTCATGACCTCCAGCAGCTGTCCCAGACTATGACCTCCTCCCCCGGCAGGTTGATGACCTCAGCCGCGGGGGTGACCCCGGGAGGGCGGGGGACGTCACGACGCCCTCATCGCCGCTGCTCTCGTCCCTCCTGACGAGGGGCGCCCCTCGCACGCCGCCCCTGCAGGTGACCCTCCTACATGTCATATGGGACCTGTACACCTCCTACATGTCATATGGGACCTGTACACCTCCTACAGGTCATATGGGGCCCATGTGCTACTGTTAGACCAAGCCTGACAAATGATAGGGTTTCAGGCTCATTTATAACATGGCTTCAGGCTCATTTATAACATGGCTTCAGGCTCATTTATAACATGGCTTCAGGCTCATTTATAACATGGCTTCAGGCTCATTTANAGATTTATTCATTAAATACGAGAGGATTTATTTGCAACTATTTTATACGTCTTTTTAATTTATTTATACGTCTTGAACTATTAAATACGAACTATTTTAGACGTCTTCGGTACAATGGAGGTTTCTTTAGCTCGTGGTCAATTCTTGCACTATAGCAAAACTTAAATGTGAGTGGCCATTATAAAACTGTTAGAAAAAACGGTAAAAAACGGACTCGCCGGCGTTCTAGTGGCCGATCGCCACGTGAAAATATACCGTTTATCCGTTTTTCAGATGTTGTACGGGTTTCTAGTGTTAAATTTGAATAGAAACGGCCATACCGTGTTTCTTTTCACGTGTCAGCCGGCCACTAGAATACCGGTGAGACCATTTAGCGGGGATTTTTCTTACAGTGAAGTGAGAAGCCGGGATATTAAGAGATGATTAAATGAGCCTGAAGCCATTTTATAACATGGCTTCAGGCTCATTTAATCATCTCTTAATATCCCGGCTTCTCACTTCACTGTAAGAAAAATCCCCGCTAAATGGTCTCACCGGTGTTCTAGTGGCCGGCTGACACGTGAAAAGAAACACCGTATGGCCGTTTCTATTCAAATTTAACACTAGAAACCCGTACAACATCTGAAAAACGGATAAACGGTATATTTTCACGTGGCGATCGGCCACTAGAACGCCGGCGAGTCCGTTTTTTACCGTTTTTTCTAACAGTTTTATAATGGCCACTCACATTTAAGTTTTGCTATAGTGCAAGAATTGACCACGAGCTAAAGAAACCTCCATTGTACCGAAGACGTCTAAAATAGTTCGTATTTAATAGTTCAAGACGTATAAATAAATTAAAAAGACGTATAAAATAGTTGCAAATAAATCCTCTCGTATTTAATGAATAAATCTTCTTGATTTTTAACTATAAAACCTCGTTTATTCTGCTAATAAATACGCAATGAATCTATCTGAATGTTCCTTTCGTTTGTTGTCTTAAATTGAAGGGATAAATTGGAATTGACTAGTGAAGGGTGACTAGTGAAGGGTGACTAGTGAAGGGTGACTAGTGAAGGGTGACTAGTGAAGGGTGACTAGTGAAGGGTGACTAGTGGAGGGTGACTAGTGAAGGGTGACTAGTGAAGGGTGACTAGTGAAGGGTGACTAGTGAAGGGTGACTAGTGAAGGGTGACTAGTGAAGGGTGACTAGTAAAGGGTGACTAGTGAAGAGTGACATGATGTGCCCCTGTCCTCTAGAACTGCTCAAAAGACCTTCTCTCTCACAGGACCTGGCGAGACCTTCGTCAGCAGTTGCCGTGGCGGGGGCCAGCATCGTGCAGAAGCTCTTCTCTGACGCCGACGGGGAAACTAAACCTGCGCCGCCGCGCCCTCCTGCTGACGAGGTCTGCACACCAGGGGCGTCTGCACTAGGAAACATGAATGGGTTGAATTGTCCTGACACACTTTCTTACCCACATGGGTTGAAAGTGTGGGTCTAAAAGTGACACAATTAATGGGGCCTCACTGTCTTACCCACAGCAGGATTAGAGTGCGACTTAGCGCCATAACTTTGTCAGGATCATCCGTACGCGGGCAAAAAGTTTAGCGCTATTAGGACAATGAGCCTCTTATTTGTGTGAGTGTGTCACGGGAGGGTTGTGTGTCACGGGAGGCATGTGTGTCGAGGGAGGCGTGTGTGTCACGGAGGGCACGTGCGTCGCGGGAGGCGTGTGTGTCGCGGGAGGCGTGTGTGTCACGGGAGGCGGTAATTGACCTATCATGGTTTGTGTTAGAAGGTCGCAATGGATCTGCAGGATGAATGTTGTATGGGAAAATAGACGTTTTATACGGAGTATGGGTGCAGGATGTGGATGATGGAAGTGGATGCGGTATACTAATGTTGTAATTAACCGTTTACGGTGAACTAACGGCCCTGTACTCTCGGTCTTGCACAATTATATAACTGTGTACTATCCAAGGTATACCATTATACCGCCGTATACTATGCACCGTGTAAAATTAAATATGTACCATTAACAGCATACTGTCAACATGTACCGTCAACTGCGTACTGTTAACCACGCTCTGTCAACCCGCCAGGCTGGAGACGAGGTGCCTCGTAAGGCCGCCAAGGACGACGACGGCGACGAAGACGACGATAAAAAACCCGCCGTCAACGGCCTGCCGCCCGTCAAGGAGGAGCTCGACGAGGGGACGTGTGCCAAGACGGGTGAGTGACGTGTGTCAAGACGGGTGAGTGACGTGTGTGCCAAGACGGGTGAGTGACGTGTGTAACTTATTATTGTTTGTATTGCAGAGCCCAGGGATACCAGCGCCCTAGTCATCAAAGAGGATCCGCTCATCATCATCAACAAACCTGAGGCTGGTGAGTGTGGCCTTTTTATTAATAGGTACGTGGTGTACCAAGTTTTTATATAATTTACTTGATATAATATACCTACTGTACTTAATAGTTACAAAATTTGCAATTTGTAACGATACACAAAGGCGCGGTAGTATAACCTCAGCTTATTTTCACAGAGTTACTATTTCTTATTTACAGACTGATTCACCAGTTGGGGTGGTTTTTACAGACTGATTCATTATGGTTCAGAAAAGATATGGCACCCTAGCCTGGGTTCTTTCCAGAGAGTTATTTGTTATGGTACCGAAAAGATATAGAACCATAACCTGGCTTATTTTTACAGAATGATTCATTTATGGTACAAAAAACGGATTTTACAGAGTGATTCATTAAGGTACGGAAAAGATTAATATCATAAACTGGCTGGCTTATTTTCAAAGAATAATTTGTTATGGTGCAGAAAAAGATATGGTACCATAACCTGGCTTATTATCACAGACTGATTCATTAGGATACAGAAAAGATATGGTACTATAACAGGTTTATTATCACAGAACAATTCATTATAGTACAAAAAACTGATTTTACAGAGTGATTCATTAAGGTGCGGAAAAGATTGGTACCATAACTTGTCTTATTTTAACTTATTTTTTATGGTACAGAAAAGATATGGTACCATAGCCTGGGTTCTGTTCGGAGAGTTATTTTTTATGGTACAGAAAAGATATGGTACCATAGCCTGGGTTCTGTTCGGAGAGTTATTTTTTATGGTACAGAAAAGTTATGGTACCATAACCTGGCTTATTTCTACAGAGTGAATTATTATGATACAGAAAAAGATATGGTACCGTAACTGGATTACAGGATAATTCATTATAGCACAAAAAACCGATTTTACCTAGTGATTCATTATGGTACAGAAAAGATATGGTACCGTAACTGGCCTATTTCTACCTAGTTATCCATTATTGTACAGAAAATGTTTTTCCCCCAGAGTGCCTGCAGGCCTCTTACGGCGGTGCTGCGATGAGCTCCTCGAAGGAAGGCTATCAGGACACGGTCGCCTCGCCCACGCTCCCCAAACAGGAAGTCCACGTCAGTCTGCTCTTCTTGTTAGACACGCAATAATATTCGATTTTTTTCATTGAATACTAATAGCTTACACTAAACTTAAACTCCGTTTATATTGAACTCGAAATCCTAGATGGTAAACTATGTTCAGGTTGGCCGTAGGCCGGCAAGCTTTTTCCAGTCCCTGCCAAATAGTGGCAAGTAGGTCAAGTTTTCTTCCAATCCTTGTCGAATAGTGACAAGTGATATTAGTTTTTTTTCAATCCTTGCCAAATAGTGGCAAGTAAAACAAGGATTCTTCCAATGGATTCTTTCAATCCTTATTTTACTTGTCACTATTTGATATAGCCCCTGAAAATTTCTGTACGTAACTCACGTGCAGTTGTGAGTTACGTACAGTTTTACTTGTCACATAGTGACAAGTAAAACAAGGAGTCTTCCAATCCTTGCGAAATAGGGACAGGTAAGTCTAGATTTTTTTCCAATTTTTGCCAAATAGTGGCAAGTAAAACTAAGATTCTTCTAATCCTTGTTTTCCTTGCCAGTATTTGCTACAGCCACTGAAATATTATCACGTACCTCCCTTGCAGGTGTGGGACGACGTGAAGCTGCAGCTGGGGGAGGTGCAGCGTAAGTACTCACGTCTCGGCGCCTCGAAATATCATCACATCTTCTCCGGCGACTCAACCATGAAACTTGAGAAGGAATCTGAGGAAGAGGAAGACGTGGAGGAGGACGTGGAGGAAGAGGAGGAGGATGATGGATTTGCAGGATTTGGGCCCTCAAGTCTGAGTGTAGGAGGCTGTATGATAGGATCTGTGCTGGCCACCGCTGCCGAGAAGCGCCGCTCTGAGGATGAAGACGTTTATAATATCGACAACGACGACACGATTGGTCTTAAGGCTTCAGAAAAACTCAAACTTAAGGAGAATGTGAGTGTAAATTATTTAAGATTAAATGTTCTGATAATTGACTGCCAAGTGTGCTGCTTTCCTCGTGTCATACTTCTTTGTTCTCAAAATCTTCATGTCTGCATTCTATGACCGTTTTCTTCAACACTATTCAACATGCCATCATTAGCATGTCACTTCTGCTATAATGTCACCATCATCATCATCAGACATGTTACGTCAGACACCACCAACTTACTGACGGTAGAGTTCATTCCTCTCACACTCAAAGAAATATGTAAACCTGGTAAAATAGCGATTCAGTTTTAGCCTTTGTGTTATCCTGACTCAGTTTGACCTGTCACAATGACGGCAAAGTGTTACGTCCGGCCTCTGGTGGCACTGTGGGGAAAAAAGTGTCACAATTGGAATACTTAAGTGTCACAATTGGGGCACTATATATTGCCACAAATTGTCACAAAGTGTCACAAATGAGCCACTAAAGTGTCACAATTGGGGGACTATTGTCACAAATTGTCACAAAGTGTCACAATTGGGGCACTATTGTCACATTGTCACAATTTGGGCACTAACGAACGCATTATATTTTTATGCCCGCAGGCTCTACACAAGCTGGGCGCTGAGGGCGAGGCGGCAGACGAAGTGCTGCGGTCAGCGCCTGAGACGGCGGCCGCCCTCGGGTCACCGGGGGCATCACAGGCGAGCTTCATCGCGGCCGCTGACGACGAAGGAGGCGCCGGCGTCGTCAGGAAGGACGTGCTGAAGACGAAGCAAATGAAGCGCGTCAGAGACGACAGGAACATCGACTTTGATGACTGCGACTCCGTGGACAGTCTTGCGACCACGTGCGTCTTATACGTGCAGCGCGCGTGTCTTATACGTGCTGCGTGTGTCTTATACGTGCAGCGCGTGTGTCTTATACGTGCAGCGCGTGTGTCTTATACGTGCAGCGTGTGTGTCTTATACGTGCAGCGCGTGTGTCTTATACGTGCAGCGCGTGTGTCTTATACGTGCAGCGCGTGTGTCTTATACGTGCAGCGCGTGTGTCTTATACGTGCAGCACGTGTGTTGTTTGATCATTGTGGCGGTGTTTGATCATTGTGGCGGTGTTTGATCATTGTGGCGGTGTTTGATCATTGCCCAACGTATCTGCAGGTCTAGTCTGTGTGGCGGCGACAGCGACGGTGGAGTTCGGGGCACTAAACGCAAACTCCAAACTTCCGACTCCATGTTTGGAGCCTTCCAATTGGGGTCTCCACGCACCTTCTCCGACACCTCACCCGAGTCACCCACCTCCACCTGCCATGGGTAGGTGCTCCTCACCCGTCCCTGCTGTGCATTCTCCCCCACCTCAACCCATCATGGTAGGTGCCTTTCACCCGTCCCTACACCAACACCCACTCTAAAAACCGCCATGAATGTGGGCCTATTTCTGGTCCACTCAAGTTGAGCGAAAAGATGTCAAAAATATTTATATAACGTAACTATGAATAAATTGAAAATATGGGGATTTATTTTGCGATGAAAATTAATAAGTAACCCGGTTACGACGACAAAAAGACATGCAAGTGCTTCCTAATGCACGATGTTGCCAAGCGCGCAAAGTTATACCTGTACTTTTATTCAGCCTTTAGTTTAGTCGATGTTCTTATCTCGGTGTGTCAGTCCGTATGTTTTACGCACAATCTCTGTTATTGTTTGTGCGGTAATGTTTGTTTTGTGTTGGTGCAGAGATGACCTGGAGAGCGAGAAGGCGCTGAGGTTGTGGCGTAAGTCCATCATGATTCTCTACAACGAGATCGCAGCGCACAAGTTCGCTAGCGTCTTCTTGCGACCCATCACCGAGGACAAGGTGCCTGGCTACCTCTCCGTCGTTCTCAGGTCAGTATTTGAGCCCAAACTTGTTTATGAAGTGTTTAATGGTAAGAAGTTAGTAACGAAAAACGCTCAAAACCGTCCCTTATTACCCCGTTTGACGGTACCACCTTGTCCTCAGATCAGTATTTGAGCCCAAACTTGTTTATGAAGTGTTTAATGGTAAGAAGTTAGTAACGAAAAACGCTCAAAACCGTCCCTTATTACCCCGTTTGACGGTACCACCTTGTCCTCAGATCAGTATTTGAGCCCAAACTTGTTTATGAAATGTTTATTGGTAGTTATTAAGTTAGTAACGAAAACGCTCAAAACCGTCCCTTATTTTCCCCGTTTGACGGTACCACCTTGTGTCCAGGGAGCTAACTTACTTACCAGGCTTTCTGGAACGAATAGCATTGAGGACTGATAATGTATTTATTCAGTTGTTCACGGCAAATGCTTGAATGCGGCAGCAAGTTAATTGTTTGCTGAACTTTCTTAGTTTGAAACGCATCTTGTTCTTGAATGTGTTAGTTCATTTGTTATGTCTAGAGGAAAAATTATGTCTGGTAAAGTTTGACCGTCCATGCAATCTTTACAATATGAATAATTGTTTTGCAAAACATATTTTTGTTTCTCCCTTCATTGTCTTTATTGTGTTCCCATAAACTTATCGATGTGCAACTCAGAATTGTGATTAATTTTTATTTTTGAACATAGATTCAATTTGGAGTCTATTAAATTGAATGTTGCTCTTCATTCTCGTTCAGTTGAAAGTCAAACACGGTTTTTGCCACTCCTCTTTATATTTAAAAGGCATCTCAAATTCTGTAATTGAGTCCTGCTGAGAAAAATTGTCATCACTGTGTGAAGCGCATTTGTCCTGAACAGCTCAAGGAGTGTTCATGCGAACAGAATGTCATGGCCTTATAATATATAGAATGTCATGGCCTTCTCATACATAGAATATCAAGGCCTTCTTATATATAGAATATCAAGGCCTTATCATAAATAGAATATCGAGGCCTTATCATATATAGAATATCAAGGCCTTCTCATATATAGAATATCAAGGCCTTATCATAAATAGAATATCGAGGCCTTATCATATATAGAATATCAAGGCCTTCTCATATATACCNCCTGTCTCTTATACACATCTAGATGTGTATAAGAGACAGGTATTGCACCACTAAATATTACTTGACTTGCAGACCCATGGACCTGCAGACCATCAAGTGTTCAGTATTGCACCACTAAATATCACTTGACGCTTGCAGACCCATGGACCTGCAGACCATCAAGCGCAACATCGAGGGCGGCGTGATACGTACGACGGAGGAGTTCCAGCGCGACGTGATGCTCATGTGCATCAACGCTGTCACCTACAACACCAGGGGCCACAACGTCCACGACATGGCCACCAGGCTCATGAGTGACGCTCTCGCCAAGATTGAGGTATATAAAGTATAAAACACGTATAAAACTTACGCAACTTTTACCTCGCCAAGATTGAGGTGACCGCATACAAAACTTACCTTTTACCTCGCCAAGATTGAGGTGACCGCATACAAAACTTTACTTTTACCTCGCCAAGATTGAGGTGACCGCATACAAAACTTTACTCAAATTTTACTTGCTCGTTTAAAGTTCCAGTGTCGAAGGACGTCACAAATATTTAATTTGAAGTGTAAAAAACAATTTAGTACAGCAAGGGAGAATTTTCTAGGAGGGTAGACACAAGGTTTAACGGCTTTCTCATTGTAACTCGAAGAGGTCATTGTACAGACGGTAGTTAGACGTATTCTGGTTTGGGGGTCAGGGTGATTAATCTTTTTTGTATTGATTGGCATGCAGCCAATCCGTCTCTCCAAGACCTAAACGACATTTGTCTTAGACTCTCCTAAAACACTGTCTTTTCTGGTAATTGAAGACAGATGCCCTCACTAGACGCCCCGTCCATGTAGACAGATGCCCTCACTAAACGCCCCGTCCATGTAGACAGACGTCTCTGTCTATGTAGACACAAGCGCCTATGTTGCCAGTTGTGTCCTGAACAAAGCCTCATTATGTTGTCCTTCTCATGCGTGCCATGTATTGCTTTGAGATCTGGGCCTAAACTTTCATAAAAAGTTAAGAGATCGTAAGTTCATCAGCCAATCATTGACGGCCTCTCAAGCAAAATCCACCAATCACAGACAAGAAAATAGAGCGTAAGTACTTACGTTCACTTAGCGAATTTTGAAAGTATAGGCCCTGCTGAGCAGTTCCCGAGAGAGAGTCTCGTTAGTAACAGGCAGCCTCTCTCATGGTTGAACTATATAAGGTTGACCCACGAGAAGTTCCGCCTTTCAGTTCAGCTTTCTGGTTGCATCACTGAGATCGAGAAACTTAAACAACCCCGTCATTCCCATGACGGATTGGTTGACTGGTTTGATCGCATTTTGGTGATTGGTTAATGCCGGTGACGTCACTGAGATCAGTGACGTCACATGCGAACATAAAGCTCCATCCGCGAAAATGAGCTTCTCATGGGTCAACCTAATACTAGTTTAACCATGGCCTCTCTTGTGTGTGCAGGAGTTCCAGAGCGCGGCGGCCGTGGTGTTGCCGGCATCTCCCATCAAGTCGCTGAGGCGAGAGACGCGCGAGTCTCTGGCCAAGCGATCTGACGACCCCAGCACCGCTACCGTCAGGAGCTACAAGAAAAAGAAACTCTCGTAAGGTTCCTCGGACCTCAGGCTCGACTCTGGTGTAGTTCCACTGGGAATAAATGGGTCAGCCGGCAAGCCTGGGCCACTGAAGCGATTGTTTTTGACAGAGCTAAAGACCACCGAATCTTCAGCGCGAAATATGTTCTACTAAAGCGCTAAAAAAAAAAACTCCCACTACCATTGCGGTTGTTATTTTTTGTAGAAATTCCGTCTTACGAGGATGTGAATAGTAACACTTATGATTTTTAGTTATGTAAGGAGGACAGCAATCTGTGTGCTGTTCCAAGTTGAGGTACGTTATTTACCATTTGCAAGCTGAGACAAGTTACTCTCTTGATCCATGTCACGATATGCACGGTAAATGCATTCAACGAAGTTAATTCTTTCCACCCTTCTAGTTGTAAATTGTTAGTTGCCTTTGAATATTAGCCCCGTATCCCTTCGGTCTGTTTAGTCTTCTCGTGATTGTTGCAGACCACTTTTACTTTGATATAAGCGGTAGGAGTGGTATTTTTCTGCAGGCACTGCCTGTCCATACAGTGTCTGCCTACACGCCGAGCTGTCGGCGGCTCTTTAATGTCGATGCAATAAATCAGGAGATCGCAGTGGCGTCTGAAGTCTGAATGAATTTCAGATTCTTATCAAGCACTCTAGCCTAATCTGATGCGTAAGGTCATTTTGCTACTGAACTACAACAAAGATTCTTGAATAGTATATTTTGTAAATTACTGAATACGATTTGGGCTTTTATTATCCCTGGCAATGATACGGTGTTAGTGTACATTTGCCTTCTCAGGCACACGAAGTTACTTTGCGTCTTGAAAACTTTTTATATGATCCCACTCCCAGAGATAAGAGGTTGAAATGGCTTCGATTGAGCTACTGTGGGGCACGGCAGATGATTTTATTATATCGAGAGTCGAGACTTACCCTCTAAATGTTATTTATTAAACAATGGATTCAAATAATCTTAATTTTTGTTTTATAGTGAATTATTACGATTTTTCTGAGTGTGGATTCCATTTTGTTCAGCAGTTGATTATTTCTTTCCACCTCTGGCATTAGGAGCCGCATAAAGTTTCACCAAAATTTCCGTGAAAGTAAGAAGATGATTCGAGACTTTGCACCGGATTTATTGATGGTGAATTTCTGCACATGAAGGTAAAATAATTTTGTAATACGAGATGGAAAGTTGAGCAGTTTTGGGTCTATAAAAGTTCTATCTAACGAGTGAATTTGGCTCCAGACTACAGCTCTTGTAACAGCATTAAGGGCTGGAATCAATTGGGTCGCCTACCGAAGACCACAACTGCCCTGGATGTAATGGACCATCATGATTCATGCCTTCCGGAACGTAGCCTTCAACACTTCAAGCCGTCCGTATCTAGGCCGTGGGTCGAACCAGCCCTCGGTCGAACGGCCACTTGTCGAAGGACGATAGATTTTGGAACAGAACTATGCTATCTGAAACCTAACCTCAGATGCGGTGAACGTAAAATTACGCAATTTAACGATGCCCGGAAGTCATATTCGATTCGCGGCCTGGTGGTGCACGGCAGGTTCTATGCAAGGCCGGAGGAGGACAAAACCTTTATAGAACGCAGGCCGTGTTCAATTTGTTCAACATTAATATTAACCCTATAGTTAAATATATGAACCCTTAGAGTATTTGATATATTATGATGAAAATAAGCATCGGTACTTTCTTCTTAAATGCAAAGTTGCTGGAAATTTCTAAGTTTCTTAGGTTGTAAATTTGTTCTTCTTCTCCACGTATTACTATTGTTAGGTATATGGGTTTGTAAATAGGGAAGCAGGCAGTAAGACTTAGAGTTGAAAACGTACAATTAATATGGTTAGTAGGAGTGTGTCAAGTCTTAATTCCCTCCAAAATTGCTAGTTATTATTTGGAGTGAACATTCTTGATTTTCGTTTTTTTTTTATTTTTTAGCAAGTGCATGTTTGCTCCTCTTGAATTAGAAGAGGGCTGACTCCTTCACATCTTGGCTTTGTTTTTTTTTTTTTTTTGTGGCGAGGCCACCATAACTCTTGAGCTATTGCTCCATGTGTAATTCAATTTTTCGAAAGTTATGGCAAGGCTTATTTCTTTGCACCGAATAATTAACTAATTAATATTGGAGTCTGTCCTTACTTTAACTTACATGATTTCCATGTATATGGTCTCTGCTAATGCCTCTTAAAATTGCTGCGTAACCGCTTGGGGTTCAAATATCTTAAAGTGGGTACTATAGTGTCATAATTGGTTAAAATACTGGAATAGCGAGACATAACTTTTGGCTCCTCCACCTTTGATTTCGATTCCTAATTATTCAACAGCTAATTTTGGTTTCTATAGAATACCTGCACATCTGGCGGTACACATCGGTCAATTTGTTTTGGGGCTTTCGGCGACTCCAAGGGCGTAATTCAGAGATCCTTATTGTGATGGATGGTTTGTAAATAATTTGTTTTATAAGATAAAATTCATTGCCAATCACTAAATTTGAGAAGAATACTTTTGTTATACTCAAGTATACGTTTTGAAGTGCTTCCTATAAAGGTTTTTTGTTATATCTCGACATTTATGTTGGGCCGGGTTCATTCGTCTTTAGGGCGGCGAACCTCTATTGATACCACCAACCACCAAGCTTAATTTCAGGAACTTAGTCTCGTTCCTAATTTCTTCAAGTGTCTGCTTCTTCATGCTTTGGACCAGTCGTCTTTGGGATCAAGTTTTAAAATAAAAGTTCAATTCTTGTCCTGTCTTTGCATTAAGCATAACAAATATGCGATTTTCTATTGGCCGCAATAATATGTATAATATCAGTAATAATAATATCAATAATAATATTGATTATGATAAGTCTCTTTGAATATCAATTAAAATGAAGGCATAATTTTACTCTACAAAAGAATTTAGAAACCCTTTTATTTTATTCTGGCGCATTTGTTTACAAGTTTTCAAGTAGAATGAAAATCGCTATATAATAGACAAACCACTAAATTAAATCAATGAATGGCTACGAATGCCCGACTGTTGGACAGAAAGAATATAAATCTAGAGAACATTAATCATCCAGATATAAAACTTAGCCTCCACCAGTAAGTCACTTATTTACTGTTGTTGTGATCGAAAGCCGAGGTAACTCATCAAGAGCTTTATTCAACAAGAACGCAACAAGCTGGAACAAAATAACACTACTATAAATCAGGAAAAAACAGTAACGTCATTGGAGTATATTCACATGTGAAGGTATTACACGTAAAGAAACTATTTACAGAATACTCCAGAGGAGAACAGTAGTTCTAGGTCTAGAGCCGAGTCAATGCTAACAGTAGTCATTAATTTTAAAGCGAAGTAACTTACTAGTAGGAACTATAGTATGGAATACTTTGTACATGTGGGTGCTATAACAGATATTTCATGACAACTGTGTCATTACCAGTCATTTGTCAGGTCAAAAGTCATTTGCCTACCGACATGAGCAAACGTGTGCTGGATAAATGGATTACACTTATATACGACCTAACACCTGCACAAATCCATTCTTCACTTCATACGTGCACCCAATAATATCCTTTTATTCAGCAGTTGTGGTAAAAAATATGACCTACCGTAGCAGATTAGCCCGGTTTTTCCAGGCTTTATGATTCCTACTATTTGAAATCCCATTATTCCCGTAACTCCTTACACCGTCATTTGCAATTCAAATCCATATTTTAGATAAAAGATAGAACCCACATTTTACTGTCGCTCGAAATGGGGAAAACTTCGCATTTTTTTAATTTAAGTTTTATGTACCAATTACAAAATCATATTTAAAATGTTCATCCAATCTTTTCCTTCAATTCTCCTCTAATCTATTTCAGTGTTATTTTAGTTTCAGGTAATATCCCGACACGATAAGTATCCTGGATATACCCCCCCCCCAAACAACCCCTGTATACTTTTGGTGTCAGGCTGTAAGCACACAAAACCCCACGCACACACAAACGAACCTTTGACTAATCTATTTCCGATTTGAGAACATTATACTGCACCGGAAGTTTCTTATTGACATTTTTTGCCCTGTGGCCTCCTTTTTTGAAAAAATATCACACCCACACTAACAAACTTTAACTTATCTATGACAGATAAGAAGACAATATACCGCGCCGACGGGCTTCTTGACAGCATTTTTTGTCTTGCGGCCTCCTTTTTCGAAAAACTGTCGCCAAGTACATAGTTTTTTGCCTCTTTTACAGTTAATTTGTATTCACTAATTGCACTGGAATCGGTCGTTGCTAACGGAAGCAGAGCAAGGAGAAAATAGGAAAAAAATTTAATCGACATTAGAAGCCAGTTAATCATGGTCAGTCTTTATATCTATAAGAACTGATAATTTTATAATAGTTTCAAGCTCTGGTAATAACAATTTAATTCATTCTGCAATTCACGGATAGTTCTAGAACAAAGCTAGAAATTCAACCCAAGCCACGGCAACACTGCCGCTGACTCTGCTCACGATTCTTGTTAAGACGCGCCTCTTGTTTTCTTTCGCTCGTCTTTTGTTATGAATTATCCACTGGGTAAGTGTTAAGTTAATAATTGTGTAACATTATTGTATGTAATTCATTCTGCGGAGTTTGTATTCTGTGTATTCCAGTATTGTCACAAAGTGACTGTATTAAATAGGAAGTGTGTCCCGGCAACTCTAGCCTAGGGGCTAATTCTGTTCTGAGACCTCCTGGTCTTGATTAGCCTAACTAGTGAAATCTAATGAAGGAAGATATAATCTTAGAGTAACAAATGATAGCATTGGCATTATTTTGAGGTCATATATAAATTTTATAAATGAAAAAATTTTACTTAATTTTATTAAGTAATAGAAAATAATGCCTCAAACACATGATCATAAATCTTTGTCCCTTTATATAACTGAAATATATGGTCTTGTCGATCGGCTTGATTAATATTAATTGAATTATGCTCAATAGTGAATTATGTGAGAATGAATCTCAAAAGCAGGAGCACCACAATTGTTACATAGTTTTATTATTGTTACTATTCCGCAATTGAAGTTTCGATTAAATTTTATTTGTTCATGAATAGTCGTTCCTCGGATGTTACCAAATCATTAGGAAATAATTATTGATTATTTTGCCAAATAAATCACCTACATTCTCGGAATAGGGTGAAGTATCACTAATTCTTGTAATGTTTTATTTTATCTTGAGTGTTAGAAATAACAAATGTCATTGACTCGTGTTCTAATGATGACCATTGTTCGCAGGTCTCTGTCACATATTTACAACCGAACTCCTGTCCTTACATTGCCTCACTGATAGAACCTTTATTTTGGCCATTATCGCAACTATCGTTTCCCATAAACTTCTCAGACTGGTGCTGAGTTTCTCGCTTATACCTGGTCATCATTCTCAGCCTTCTAATCGCAACGCCTCTGACACCTTTACCAAAATAAATTGTCTTTGTAATCTTATTGCGACTTATTACTATACTTAGTGGGACTACCTCCAAAGTCTCTCGTTGCAACCCCGCTAAAATGTGTACAAATATCACCCCATATCTGCTTTAACTTTTCTTAATGAGATTTTCGAATAAATTCTACACTGTAGACTAACTAATTTTCACTAATATCTGATAATTAATTTGTTTTCTGTAAGGGCACTAACACGACTATGACAATATTATATTTGGTCCAAGACCTGCTTGTGGCTCTCCTGCTAAAAACTATTGTGTCTATTTTTACCTTAATTTGCAAAAAAAAGTCTTCGATTGCGTAAATCATCGAATTCCCCTGAATAAACTCAAACGTTATGGTAACGGGAGCATATTCATTCATTAACAGTCATATATAACCAATAGAGTACGATATGTTTCAATAAACGAGTTCAAATGAACTATTAGATCAATTACGATCAGAGACCACAGGGCTCTGTTATCAGGCCTCTTTTCTCTAACATTTTTATACATGATATCACCTCTTATTTTAACGTGAACTGTAAGCTCTTTTCTGATGACGCTGTATTTTATGTCTCGAGAAGTACCTACAATGATATGTGTGATAGATGTCAGTGAATTAGTCAAGGTGGCTGCTAGACATTAAGTTAGTGGCGCACGCTGATAAAACTAAACTGATGATTTTTACTTCGAAATCAGTTTCACTTTTAAATGGAACAATTTTAGATTGGGTGAGACTTAGATGAGTTAACATTAAAACAATGAGAGTTACGTGTTCGAAGGAGCAATAATGAAGATAAAATTATGGTACACTGTGAATTGAAAATCTAATTATACCAGGAGAAAACGAACAATGCATTCAATTCTAAACAGATAAATCTTGAAAGTATGTTGATAACTTTACAATAATCAAACATTTCAGAACCAGAGATTATGCTTGAATTATCAATTCGATGCATTTTAATATGTTAATATTTGAAAAGTATGAAATTTAATGGCTTGTACTGAATTCAAAAGTGTAAATTGTAAATTGAAGAAATTTTACTAGCTGATAATCCAAGTTGGATTATCCAACCATTTTGATTAAAAATTGGGCGATTCTATCTGTTAACATATGCTGTGGAGACCTGCTGCCAATTATTTATATGAACATATAAAGGCCACGTAGCATTGGTTCACTCACTAATGTTTTCAAGTCTCCTCAAAAATTATGAGCTGTCAGAGGTATGCACGAAAAGTTCTTACTGAAGGATTTTAGAAGCTGAGTGACATATACTTCAGAAGCTCCACTATCTAATGTTCTTTATTATCTAATCTTAGCTTCTACTTTGTCATCTGATGTTAACATGAGAGTGTCTCTTCTGTCTATGCTACTAACTTCGCCACAACATTTATATCGCTGGCCTTCTAAAGAAACGAACCATTTTTAAAGAAATCTGGGGCCGTATTATCAAAACTTCGTAAGTACGCAAAATCGACTTACGAGTGGCGTTGCTATGACAACGTAATACTATAGCGGTGGTATTATAATAACATTTGCGCGGGAAAAAAATTTAGGCTTTTAGCTAAGACTTGCGTACGAAAGTTTTGATAATGCCAAAATTAGGGTGTATTTACGTACCACAAAACTTTTTTGTCGTAAGTACAAAAAGTTACGAAGTTTTGATAATCCGGCCCCTGGGCAATAACTTTCTAGCGCGGTCGGGAAAGCTTTTTAGTTATCGTGAGAGAATTGAACCCTAAAAACTGTAACTCTGACCAGTATTATACGGTTTTTATTGACGCGCTGGTGATTTAATTGGATTAGCTGCAGAGTGGCCACTTATGTGTCATTAATGGTAGTGTCATTCGAGTCTAATTAACTGTCACAATCGCTGTATTGACTGTAACTTGTCTAAGCATTTCATGTAATCCTTGACAGTTAACCAAAAGACTCCATCAAAATTCTCATCCACGGGCGAAATTATTCCTGGTTTACCTCTAACTTCAGCAGCACCAGTACAAACACGAAGGTTTCGAATGCACCACTTGTATATGTCATGCCGAAATCGCGGAATTGCCGGTTATATGGTATAGGCAGCCAGTTTGCCGAATCTGTATAATCAGCATTTCGTTGCTGATTCAGAAAATCGGTCGTTAGAGTTAGAACATAAGGGTACGCACACAGTGAAAGCAGGTTGCCAGCATGCTGGCTACCTGCTCAGGCTGGCGCCTGAAACCATAGAATACAGAAGCCTATTCGTACAGGTTTTCACTGTGAACACTTACATTATTATCCCATGTTCATTCTTGTGGCAGGTTGGAGCAGGTTACCCGCACAGGCAAACCTGCTTTCACTGTGTGCGTACCCTAAGTCGGCAGTTAGAGTTAGAAAAAGGTTAGGTCAAGTTCGGTCAGGTTCCTTTACATTTAAATATTAAACTGAAGAACTTGGCTGACTGACCCAACCCCAGATGAATATTTTTCTATAGTATAGAAATGCTGATTCTACAGATGTGGCAAACTGGCTGCCGATTCCGTAGAATCGGCAATTCCGCTTTTTCGGCACGACATATACACAAGTACACAAAGGCAGCGCCACTCCATCTCCGCTTTCACGGCTCTGTCTAGACTCCAGCCAAAGCGCGGCTGAACCGGACAAGATTATTACTGGTCCGGGCTATGTATACGTTTTAACTGGGATCGGAATGATTTGGGCTCGTTCGTAGTTCGTACCGTCAGGTACGTGCAGAAGTTATTTAGTACATAATGATAAAATTTGAGCCTCTCAGAAGATAAAAATGACTAATGCTTAGGTACGGCATGAACTGAAACATCTAAAATTTTTAGCTCTCCCCGAGATTGAATAGAAAGTGGGCCAAGATTTTTTTATTCGAGCGGCACATCGGCCCCTCGAATTCCCATTCGGATTATACATACTGACGTTCAACGAAGAATGATTCTGTGAATCATGGTGAACGAATAAGATGCACATGCATTCTATTGGGGACCGGCTACCCTCCGGAAAAACTTCTACAGTTATTATCCGATCATCATGAAACTTCACATACATACGTAAAATATGACAATAAGAACATTTTGCTTATATGAATTTTTCGAAAAAATTGATAGAAAACGTGAAATTCATAGAAAACGGCTAAAAAGGGGTACTTTAGAAAATCTATCTCCTCCTACAAATATCATCCTACAACATCGAGACACGTATCATTCGGTTCGTAAGGACCATACCTAAAAATTTGATGATCACTTTTCTCATTTTCCCCTTAGTTTTTTTATGCGCGTTTTATCCCATTTTTCTCATTTTCCCCCCTCCCCCCCTTTCTCCCCCATATAAAAAACGAACCAGACATAAATTAAAAAAAATGCTCATCAAATTTTTAGGTAATTTCCTTACGAATCGAATGGTGTATGTCTCATTGCTGTAGCTTGAAAACTGTAGGAGATAGGTTTTCCGTGACAATAAGTTGAACTTTTCAGGACGGCGCGACAAAGTCCCGCGCGCCTCGAAATAGGCACTCAATGTAGCATGGATACCAAACTACAGGCTCCTGTAGCTTAATCCACTCAAGGATGCTAGCAGCAACTTGTAGCGCAAATCTCCGTACAAAGTTAGGAGGGTAACTGAGCTCAGATGCCAGATGCACCAATATATGTAGTCTTGCCGCTCTAATTTTCTTAGGTCTATTTACTGAAGGAACTCCACCCCCCGCCCCCCGTTAAAGCCCGGCCGTGTGCGTCAATATTGCCGTACATAGATCGCAGTAGTATCGTCGGAAAGCTCAGAATGTCAGCTTTAAGATGAGACTAAGCATGTAACTGCAGCACAACTCAAGTAGAAACTATATTCAAAGATTTCAGCAGCTAATTACTTTATATCTAATTAGTTAAAGAACTCTCCCACCCGCTTCCCTGTAAAGAGACGTCATGAACGTAAATATTGGCGTACAGCGATGGCAGTGGTACCATTGGAAAGAGCAGAATTCCAGCTTTCAGATGAGCACAAAAAGCGGAAAACGCCACAATTGAAAATTTTAGGGTAGCCGGTCCCCTTAGAGAAAATCATTTTAGTTGGTCAAATTTACAGTAATTGCATTGCACTTTCAAAGAGCTGCATCAAAACATTCAGATCGATTTGATTACAGCACTGACGCATAGAAGCAACGCTTCTTTTTTCGAATCGGCAGCGGTTTACAATCAGAAATGATGTTGTTTGAAGAGGACGTGCAAAAAATATCTCTTTCCAACATAACAAGTTTTAAAGTCAATGATTAACATTTTTTCTCGTAACTTTGCGTAATCACACGATGGAATACAGCTAAAAAAGCAAATGAAGCACGCTTATTATTAAACATGATGGGTACAAAAAAAAAATTTCTGTCTTTTCCACCAACTCTGAAGGGCGCAATTATGTGTAATTTACTCCTTAATCCTGCTGGCACCTCGGGGTGCGGGGGTTACAATTTCTTCCTTGGTAATCTCAAATCCGAAGAAGACGCGAGCCTCCGCTTGATGGAAATGTACTAAAGATAAAGGGACTGTGCTTATCAGTCAGCAGTGCTTGTATTTAACACGAGACACGCTGGAAAAGCGCAGCGGGGGCCCAAAACGAAAGCTTTTTAGCATATCCGCAGCCCGTTACGGTATTCAAATTCCCATATGATACGCACGCAGTTTTGGCACTCATTAATCGCGTGCACCTCCGAGTCTTGCAGATAGAATGTATATTGTAATGTGGAGAGGAATATGGAGACAGGCAATGGAGTGTAACGATTGTAACTAACATGCAACCCAGAATGTCACATGTTAGAATGTTTATTATAATGTTGAATCGAGCCTGTGTTACACCTGTACAATTCAACTGATCAGGTCGAGGTGCAAGTTCAGCTGAACACTCTCAGACTTTGATCATTTGGGATTCAAAGTCATTAGTCACATCATCAGCTCGGACGTCTCTGCAAATATGGAGCATTTGTTCAAGGCCTCGCCACTTCACCTGAACCAACGCTCAGCGCGGAGCTCAGCGCTACTGTGGAGCAGCTCACGCCACGTCACCTGAACCAACGCTGAGCACCGAGGATATGCTGCTCATATCAGATATACGTACACGTGTGATGAAAAAATTTTGTTATAACACAATTGAGGTTCTTAAAGCAAATAACTTTTCATGAAAAAAATTAGAACATTTAAACATAATTCTGCCATCTTCGCTTATATTTCCACATTAATTTATAATTTTTCAACCAGAAAGTTTAAACTTTCCTATCAAACAGTTAAATCTAAATTTCAACGTGTGATTGTGGAGCTAGATGCCACTAGCTGTGGAGTCGGATGATCTCTTAGACAGCTGTTCTCACGCGATGGACAAACAACACCAACTGTTTCAATAATTCCATGCAGCTATAAAGTCAGACAATGTATCACACAAGTCACAGGTCATCTAACAGCCTTTCGTTCAAGACGCGTTTTGCCTTATCCTCTTGCCGCTTAAGCCTTCACGACTACCACCAAGATGAAATCTTTCCGTCTTGTCCTACTTCTCTCAGCAACCTTTGCCTGCTCCAGTGTTGAAGGGTAAGTGAACTCAGCAATTGGGTTCATGCGCTGTGCTCTAACCTCCTGTTCACCTTTATCCTAAATTATTAGATGATATTGCTTAGTACTCTAATTTTCTACAGCAACTACAAATCAATGCTGAAAAGGTTGCGAAAAAGTTGCATTTAAACTTGTTGCATTACTTTTTTTCTTGACTAAAATGGGAAATGTTCATCTTTTGATATTATTCACCTAGTGTACTCATTTCTATTCGTTTTTCCACCCCAGTGAACAGGCGTGTACAACGGCCATCAAAAACAACTTGAACTACACAGCCCTGAATTCTGCCTTCCATGCCTGCGCGTTGGATCCAGCGGGACGCGCCGCCTTGATTAAAAACTCAGGTTAGATATTGCATGATTTATTACTATTATTTGGTTGATCTGAAATTTTCTACCATTGCTCTACTTATCTACTGTATGGGCAATTCACCCTATTGATATTAATTTTTGTTTCCAAAACTCAGTTGTAGACTTTTTCTTAATAATTATTGGTATTACCTAGAGACGTATCTTGAAATAGTGAGTGCAACCATGGTAAATTCACGAGGAATATAAAACACTAAGCAATTTACTTATTCTGCAGGTAAACTATGCGCGCACTACGATTACTTTACCGGCGATATCACTTGCGAAATTCAGGCAGCTCCCTTCATGAAATGTGCAGCGAAAAAACTTGGTTACGTAAGTGTGGAAATATTTCTAAGGTGCTTTTTCATCATATGTCTTTGAATATTAGCTGACACTATATGTGGTATTGAACGTGACAGCTCAAAATGTGACCAACGCTATTTATAGTGCATCATCATAGACGTCGTCGATTTCAAACAATTTAATTAGTTATTAACTTATACTATGAAGCTACAACCATTGCTAATGTGAATATGACACTCAATCATTCATTTATAGTTGGATAGCGATGGCTCCATCAACAGCGAAAAGATCTTAGCGGAGTACAAGACTTACGCCAAAAGCGACAAGAAGTGCAACGTTGATCAATACAACTTCGGTGTGGATACATGTGGCACTACCATCAAAAACTACGCGGTAAGTTTTTCTTGCCTTAGCTTCACACGCACATAATCATTTCATAGCATGAAAATAAGTTATGATTATTTCTAACTGAATTTATGTCAAATCTTAACTGGGAAGCCGAGTGATAACTTGGTTTACGAGCATAAGGAAACCTATGCAAATAATTCCTTGTTCCTGTGAGAATAAGAGTCGAAATTTCAGACTATCCAGCAAGTTTCTTTGATCTGGTAATCCACTTTTCTGATGCCAATGTGACATATGATTACCCGTGAATCTGTCTCGCAAATAATTCTACCTTTCTTTAACTTCTTAAAACAATGCTGCGTAAAGTCTTTCTACAATTCTAAGCATTATTTCACTTCTATCAACTATAACTGAAGCATCAATTCATGCCATGAACGTTTATTTAAGGACTTATTGAACTACCGCAAACAGTTCCTGGCGAAGGCCGCATGCATCTTCAGGAAGATGGACTAGTACCCGTGGTGACCTGCGCAATCTTGTACTCATACCTTCAACTGATTGGCGGCTTTGAAGTGTTCACAGCAGGTGCACAATAATAATTAGGGGACCACTCTTTCATGCAGTCAATGCATCGACGCGCAGTAAAAATTGTCTAATCGGAAGTTCTTTGTAATTTGTGCACCAATAAATTCAATAAAATCTTACTCAAAATAATGTTAAAATTATTATTAAATTCAATATTGAAATTGAAACGCTGCTGAAGAAGTCAAGCATTTCACTATGTACTAATATCTTTTGCGTCAAGAAATTTCTATTTGCTTCACTTGAAATTATTAGAATTCGAGAGGTTCAATGTACTGTGGCTTGAATATAAGTTTGAATAAATAAATAAGCGTGTTACCAAACATCATTAACTCAGATATAATCAGAAATCATAATATTTTAGCGTTCCTTGCACTTCAAAATTTGTGACTTGTTGTTGTCCTTCGAACCTCTGCACCTGTTATTTCTTCTCCTGGCAGGTTGGAAAAGTTTCTGAACACTTCAACAATGGAACTTTTACACAGCTCGGGAGAAATAATTTACAATACATTATGTGCACGAATTGGTTTTAATTGAATCTTCTGTTGTGGATAAAATGCTGGGTTGTCTGTTACTTAAATCTCTCCGTGTTGAACGGGCATTCAAATAATGAGGTAATGAAAAAATTTATTAAGTAAAGTACACATAAGAAAAGTAAACACCAAAGACCCAAGAAACTAATAGCTGCATTAGAGTGGATGAAATGCGATGCATTTAGTTTCGAGAGACACATCGCTGTCTGTAACTTGAAGTAAGTTTCACGAACATGCATTTGGAGACAGAAATGTTAGAGAGACGTCGTAAGGCCTATAAGGATAAAATGATAACTGGAATGAAGGGAAGGAGAGTGGTTGAACAGAAGTCATATTTGTACGTCGAATGTGTTTCTACAAGAAAACATGAAACGTGCAGTATTCATTGTCAATTCGAGCAATTTTTGAATCGATAAACGGAATTACTGGGAAATGCTCAAATGATATTAACATCACTGCCATCATTCTAAGTGAAACTAACTTGTTGAAAATTAATTTCAACAAGTTGGCATTGAGACAATATTTCTGCGATTAGATAAAATCGAGAGAAATCGTTACATTTCAGACGGAAAAAATAGTTTCCTAACGTTCTTGAAAAGTTTACCAATGTTTGTTACATTGCTTTGAATCAACCCGATTTGTGTTTAAGGAGATCGATAGTTCTAGGGATCGCTTATCTCACACTCCTGGATACAAAAAATTATTCCGGCTGCGAAATATGATTATGAAGCGGTATTGGAAAGTACGTTAATTTTAGTGATTTTTAGCCCTGCTATATATGGGCTAAGGAGAATGTCGTGAGAACATTATTCTGCTACTGAGAGGTCCAACTGGGACTCAGGATATCATGCGGACGTGAAGAGCTTAGCACCTCATGACTCCAAACCCTTCGTCCCAGGTGACGACGAAGCAGCACCCGAACTCTAGTCATAGCCTGGCAGGGCTGCCAGGCTATGACCGGATATATATAACAGCCTCCCTGATTATATCGTTGGGGCTCCAAGTATGAACGCGTTCAAGAACAGACTAGATGAAGCTATGGAAAAATATATGTTCAGATTTGAAATGCCTAGCACCATATCGAACCCGGTGGAAGTCTAGTAGCTATTTCAAACTATCGTCAGTTTTGAAAATATCCGGTCAAATGACAAGATTTAGATCTTCTCTGAACAAGTCACGAAAAGTTCAAGATTCGGCGGCATACTCTTTAGCGCCGATATCACTATGTTTTGTTATTGGCAACGGTGGCGCATAGATGAGCCAACGATTGCCACATTTAAAATCTAGTCGATACAAAATTTTCCGTTAGCTTCAAATCCAATACATTTACTTATATTCCACCATAATATTCCCTATATCCACCATGGCAGAACAAGTAACATTGTCAAATAAGTAGAGGAACATATTATTACTGTACCAGACATCGTGAAAAATCAACTAGAAGGAAAGTCCCTGCATGCATGATTTGTGCTCGGATCTCCCTCGCGCGAAGCCAAGCCTCTACCGTTGAGCCCTCGGAGAGAACTTGGCGCTCGAGTCATTTTGAGAAACTGGAATGAGAGTAGTGCAGGTATTAATTTTATTAAATGACCGAAGTTAATGATACAACCGTGATGATTAGATGGTTCCATTAACCTTTTTATTTGAACATGCTGCTATATACGGTAAACATGCAGCCACTGAAAGAAACTTCGTTTATCCATTACGAAAGATGGTTCAGTTCAGGTTAAACTCTATGGGAAAATACTTGATAAGTATCGAAGTTTTATCATGTGAACATTACACCAAGTTCGACAGAGGTTCGATTCGAAATATTTTCGCCTGGAATATTGATAGCAATTCCTTATTGCCTGGCGTGCAATAAGGAATTGCAATCACTTCAGGACTTAAAAACGTTAAGGCGTGAAATACCATCACCACTTCGTGTCACTATTTATCACGAGCCTAGTTTTTAATCTTTAGCGTAGGAAAGATACCTAGAAAACTTTATTAGAAATGTAGACTTGAACTCAAAATGATTATCGGACGGTATAAGCAAATTTCTGATAAATAATTAAATTTCACTGTTGAAGTCAGCCAAAGAAAATCGAATTTTTCATTCGTATCCCTCTGCGTAGAGAAGATAGTTTTTGACGAGCAAATCACCCGGAAAGCACACATTTCAAGCAGGACATGGTAAAGATTAGTAGCCATCGCAACAGGTATGATCAACGCGTGTGTACTCGCTCGCTGTGCTTATGAGATGTCGAGCCGCTGTTGACAACGTCAACGTGGCTTTAGATGAACTTGAGAATATTATTAAAATTCTTAACAACGCTTAATCGACCCAAACAATTTACACTTACCGATATAATAAAATAGTCCCAATTGATCGCAATATATCAAACACAGCAAATTGGCGCCTATACGCAAAATTTGCAACAAATTTGCGCACTATATCGAATGAACGTGAAAAATTGGATTCTCCATCATCTTTTGGAAAACTATATTTTTTCATATTTAAAGATATATAAAACACACACAAAAAAATTCCAGTATTCCTCGGACAATTTATATCAGGAGCAGTTTGATACATGCTCTGCAACTTCGCTTTAGCTTGGAAAATTTGTGAACACCTTCAGTCAGTCAGTTTTACTCGTACCTACCTAATTCAAACTAAGTTGTTGCTAAATTTACTTGAATTGAAATCTTACATGCCAAGCACACAAAACGAAGCTGTTGTTCCGTCTTTATCTCAAATGACCTTCATCTTAATAACCCCTTCTATGTTGGATAAATAAGCGGCAAATTTCTTCATGCACTGCTCAGTTTAGGCAAACGGTTATCGGTGGCTTACAACAGGTTTCCCTGCAATGTGCCGTCAATGATTTAAACCCTATAAATCATCGATGATTCATAGATGACAGCCACCTATACTCGCCATCCTCTCGATTTGTTAGCGTTTTAGTCAATTTTTGGCATATATGGCCACCCACCGTTACGCTACTAATCTACTATTGCCACCTATAGTCATGGATTCGCCACCCTTTATTTTTATTTGGGTATGTTCAGTCTTGAAATGCCTAACACCCTATGGAGCCAATAAAAGTTCAGCGATTATGTAAACTAACATCAGTTGAAAAAATCTTGTCAAAAGGCCAGTTTTTGGATTTGTGGACAAGTCTCGAAAATTACAAAAATTGGTTACAGCCCTATTTTTTTCAAAGCCAAAGATGCTATGCTATGCTAACCCACGCGGACAAAACGTCGGGCGCTCCTTCAGACTCAATATGTCGTTAGAAATTTCGAAAATGTATCGCGAACTTATTACAACTGTCTCTCATTGGTTTTTCCTGTTACATTAAGTCAATTAACTACTCCTAATATGCCCTCCAAGCTCCTTCCTTAACATTAAGTTGATCAACTTTTAAGCAGTACTATTCGTTTTCACAATGCAGGTAAGAGTGGGTACATAATGCAGGTGCTGGAGACTCGCAGAACCTCCAGATCCTAGGCTAGGTTTCCATCATTTAGAAAGAACAAAATTGCAGCGACGCCTTGTATTTTTGCCCCCACAAACTTAAAAAGCCGTCACAAAAAAATACTCACCGATTGACGGCTGTTTCTCGACACGGAAATGACAGCACCACATATCTTAACTTACCCGCTCTGCGTATTGAACGAAACTACGGGGCAGCACTACTGGGCAGCAGGTCGTTTTCGAAAGCATGAAGGTCCTAAGCCGAGTTTTTCAATTCTATCCGTACTTTATTGTTTGATCAACTAGAAATTACCTTTTTATACAGATGAATAATTTTTAACGGTAATCATTATACCGTTTAAAACTTCGTGATTACATACATAAATTAAAAAATTAGCTTTGAAAATGCATTGATTTCATTCTTTCTCTTGAGTAACAAATTCCATAACAATTTCTCCTCTTGATGGTGACGACGAGATGAAATTGGAAAAAGATTGAAGTATAAAATGAAGTTTATTTATCAACTAATCTCGAAGTCAAAGTTTGGGTTACTCGGAGAATTGCATTAGGTTTAGGCTATATGATGAATGGTGTTTGATTTAGGCTATTCGAATACTAGTTCTCGGTTTTGGCTTTTCGAATTTTAATATCAGGTTTAAGCTATTTGAATATCAGAATGCCGTTGGGTTTACCGAATAAAAGCATTCTTTTGGGGCTTGGACTGATAAAAGCTTTCAGTTGAGCTATTAATTATATTAGAATTCTGTTAAGAAATTCGAATAACAGCATTCAGTCAGAAATATTTATTATACGGCATTCTGTTGGGATATTTGAATAATAACATTCGTGAAAGCGTAGACGGCACGTAAGCGTTATATAGCTTTCCAACATGTCAATCCTCTTGTAGGTCTCGTTTATTAATTTTTTCAGCGATTTTACGATAAATGAACAGGGACGAAGGATCAACACTCCTCATAAAATGAAAAAATAAAATGAAGGTAAAATAGGTCATAAAAAAATGAAGGTCATAAAAAAAATGAAGGTCATAAAATGAAGGTAAAATAATAAACGTTATACGAAAATTAATGAAGTAAAACTGTGCACGTATGATGTGGGAGAATAATGCGTAAAAACATGTGTACGCTTTGTGATGATGCAGAATTTATCACCCGTGTTTATTCCATAACGTTGAAAGGGAAACCCGAGGAGGAAAAGTCAAGGATATTTACAAGTGTTGTGGCCGCACCTGCGATCTCCCAGGCAAGTCCCCGCCCTGCCGTGGGAAGTTTTTTCGCTGTCAGGGCATCTGGTACTTTTATCAATGGGTTCCAGCAACACTTGTTGGTGATGAGCAAATGCTGCATCATGCACGATATCACTCCGAGGCATCAGTAGTAAAATGACACTTGAGTTGGTCTATTGAACGCATCGTTTGAGAGATATATTTCAACCTATTGTTACTTGTTCGATACTACATTTATAAAAATTCACTTGTTTGAACCTACTTTAAACATATAGTTACTTGTTTGAAACTGAGTATATTCTTAACTTGAAATGCATTGACCTACCTTAAAAAATTCTAATATATCAAAAACATCAACCTGCTTGCAACCTTGAAAGTTACTTGGCTATTTGCATTCTAGCGTAAGATTTCACTGTCGATTTTCTTGACCTAGTATTGGGCTATCAGCATTTCATATCTAAAAATTCAATTGATGTCTTATGAATTTAAATTCAATTGATGATACCTACGCAGCCTTTAATTTGAATATTGATTGCTATGGAGACACTGAAGTTGAAAGTATATTCATGATTACGATAATTCGGGTGGTTAGTCATCCTACTTAAATTATTCATAATCATTAAGCGAGTGGCACGTATGAGGCTTTTCCTTAAGTTTGATAATTCATTTCAGCTTCTTTCTTAGCTATAAATGGACAGTAAATTTTTCTAATGTAATTGTACTTGAATCAGTAAATGACTTCTATATTGCGACACTTATTATTGATCCGAAGTTTATTTATATAACTGTGCACCTATTATATAACTCACAAGATTACGTTGCACCTGTGACTATCTGAATTATTATTTATATAAATTTCATCATCGTTGAAAAGTGAAGTTTTGTTTGGCCAGTTCCTATCTTCGGAAATGAAATCAGTTCTTCCACTCGTAAGTACATGAACAATATTTCTTATAGATATTAAATATTAACAGATTCAAATTAATTGTTATTGATAATATTAATATACAATAGAGGTCTTGTGTAGATAATTTGAAACAAATGTATTGCAACGTTCGAGTATCATAACGGCACTTGATTGTTTAACCATATTTTCATTCGTAAAAAATTATAAATATCCCAATGGTTTTACAGAATTATTTCATTTCTAAAGAAGAATAAAACATGAAAATACAAAGTTAATAGCGAAGTAGTTTTATCAAATTCGAAATGATATATTTGGTATGTGTTGAATGAATCACATGTCGAACACGTGTCCCATATCACACGTCCAACACGTGTCCCATATCACACGTCCAACACGTGTCCCATATCACACGTCCAACACGTGTCCCATATCACACGTCCAACGCGTGTCCCATATCACACGTTCAACGCCACAATAACTGAATTTTGTTGTACAAATTAATCTTTAAAGTTGTAGATTTATTACTGGCTATCTGAGCTCTCCTGGAACGCTCGTTTCCGACAAACAACGTTCTGAAAAAATCGAGTAAAATCCCAATGCATTACGCCAGCTTTGTATGTTGCATTATATGTGCTCGTAAGTTTGATAACACTGTTAACTTACCAACGTTTCAAGCTCTTGCTCAGACGACGTGAAGAAGATTAGTCATTCTTATCCAGCGTTAATTGAATCAATGCGATAGACGTAAAATAATCCTATTATCTTCTCCCCTGTGTCTCTGACTCACTGTAAATAAATGATCTCAAGCGGTTACTGCCTGTCACATTTTGTGCTGTTGCAGGTTGTGCTCACGGTGTGCGGGTTGTGGTTCGCTCCGTGCCTCTGTTTTGACCCTTACTCACCGGGCCCGCATGCGGTTGTCCAGGTGAAAATAAACCACACTCAATACGCCCCTGGCTTGTCCGTACATATGTCGGCTTGGGCTCCCGCAGAAGCTGGGGTTTACCCTGTGGTTTATTTCTTCGATGGGTTTCAATCGACCATGCCAGTGGAAGTTTACGGTGACGTAAGTTTTGTTCGATGAAATAAAGTTAATTAAGAATACTGAACCACGTTCCAGCTCAGAGTAGCGCACAGGAGGTCATAAAAAGGTCGATGATGAATACTTCATAACAAATGTCTTAGGCAGAACACGCTCGTTAGGTCCTGGCAGTATATCTAATAAAATATTTTGTCCACGTATTTCGTTAATTGTACATGGGGAAAATTAGGTTTACCTCAATATTGGTATAACTTAATTTTGCATGCATTTCTTTCAATCGTTAATTGGAGATGAAATGAAACGGTGGATGATCTTATAACTATTGTCTCTAGATCGAGTTGGTACCAGCTACAATATCCTTTCCAGTGAAATTTTATGATTAAATCACTCAATGCAAATCTCAAAGCTCTGGCACAATTCGGATTGAAACTTTCTAAATTTAGTTTTTTAACTCTGATAGAGCCTTTAATTTACTGATTCCAATTAATAGATATTATGATAATTCATTCCCTGTACACTACATTTCGCAGCATTGTACCTATTGACAACTTTTTCTTAAGCCTAAAATTTTTCGCTATATTCCCTCAAAAACCCAGGCCCTTGAGCGAGTATCCACGCACGGGTTCGTTGTTGCAGCTCCGTGGAATTTTACGGACAATTTCCGCCCAGAGGAAAAACTCGACGCAATGCAACATGTGTTTGACTGGACGTACGACAACTTGGACTCTGTGCTGATCGCTGCCGGTGCCTCCAGCGACTTAATCACTGATTATCAGACGGCTTTTGGTGAGGTTACCTCATTGTCTCCTGAGTAGAATTGTAGAAAATTGATGCATTATTGACAAAGACTTCTAGATAGCTAAACGGTAGGGTGTTCGTTACAGGAGTCACTAAATTATAGCCCGCTCCATATGTACTAGCGTGATACCTTTTTCCAATAACGTCGCTTCCAACAATTTTGGTCTAGCATTTTCGCAACCGAAAGCCTCAAAAGTGGTAACGGTTCAAGTTTGGCCCAGAGGTTATAGTTTAGAGTATCAGGGGCAGTAATATCGAAACACCGCTACGTACACGTAAATACTGCAAAGTAGACGTAACTCCAAACGGTGGTATTATCAAAACATTTTGCACAAAGTTACGTACAAGAAGAACGTAACTTTACGAAAACTCGGAGGTTGCCTAAGAGGAGTTAGGCATAAATTTGAGCGGAAGAAGCGATCGATAATCATTTAGTTACTAATAAAACGGCGAATTTTGAAATATGTTGGTTTATATTTAAACAAATAATATAATTTGGTTCCATCAGAGAACAAGTTTTAGTCGTATAAATGCCGGGTGCTAATTGGTTCTTCATTAGCGTCGGAAATTACGAGCAAATGTTAATCCTTATATCCTATAGTTTTATAGCCATTCACCAAAATGATGTCCATATGAACATTCTGTACAAAATTATTAAGAGCTTGGATCTGCTTGCTTAGTAAACCTTAATTCTTTTTAATTTCAAAGTTTTCTTTCTGTCTTTGAGTCTCTCACACCCACAATCTCCAATTTATACAAGTATCTAGACTCTATTATCATTATAAGGCAAATCCTCTAATTTTTTTAGAAAAATATTCATTTCTAATTTCAAAAGTATTTTATTAGTCATGCATCTTATGCATTTTTTCTCCGCGCATGTCCTAATAAAAAACGATCTTAATTAGTAGAGCTAAACAGTTATTAACAGTAGCACGCATTCACAACAATTTTACTCTCGTTGTTCATTGTCATATATATCATTAAATACTAGTGTTGCTATCGAGAAACGGCATTTGACAGTAAAATTTTAGAGTAAATGCATATAGGATTCTTGAAAAAACTAGAAATGTTTAAATAACAGAACACAGAAGCGCGGCGTCATCGACGTCCGAATGTAGACAAAGAACGTAAGCGAGCCTTTGATTGGCTGATGTACAACGAGGTTTGATAATACTATTTAAAATAAGTCATGCGTACGTATATTTTGCTAACGCAAAGAATTTGTCCACTTACGCAACATGCGTAACTTACAACACGCGCGAACTTATTAGAAGTTACGACTACTTAGCGACGTTTTGATAATCCGGCCCCAGGGGCCGGATTATCTTTTTAAACTTACGTGCAAAAAGATACGTGTTGAGTAAGCACACCCTAATTTTGGCATTATCAAAACTTCGTACGATTCAAAATGATTTTTCATATCGATAAATAATTATGATCATGAGCAAATATTCTGGAAGTAAATTTTCATTTTAAAAAAGAGGTGCGAATAACTATCGACCGAGAGATGCCTTATCCTCAAGTCATTCCGTGTCTCTATGCCTCATGCCCTCGTCGCGCTGCAGCCATGTCGCACTCTGCGGGTGGTCACATGGTGTGTAGTTACCTGCAGCTCAGCGGCTGCGAGAACTTCAAGGGCATGGCGTTGACAAGCCCCGTGGATGGGGTTGACCCTTTCGGTGTTGTCGACGATTACTGCACCTCGCTGGACTCTACCCTTAATTTCTCCATACCCACCATCGTCATGGCGGCGGGGCTCGATGATGTGCCAGGTGAGTTGGTAGCAGTAAGTATGTAAAAGTGTATGAATGCAAACATCAAATGAAAAGCACAGTATGGTCCAGAATATGTCATTCAATGATTGAGTATATCCTTTTGTATGGTAGACTATTACGTCTCGGAATAATTTTCTCGAAATGAACCGGGACAACCGTAACGAGACGAGAAATTATCGGCAAAAAATTACGGGATAGAGGGTAAAATTTGTCCCGTAATAAGCGTACGAACCAGGACAAGACTTTATCCAGGACTTTAAAACTTGTGTCCCGGTAATTCTGAAACGACACGAGGCAGATAGATATATAAAACGGGACGTGACATAACGAGACGAGACATGTCTTAAAATTCAAGTCAAAACAAGATATTACTTACAATATGAAAACTAAACGAAACATTCCGAACGAGCGGTTAAGGAATGTCAAGTTAACCCTTGAGTGTTGATGGGCAATTGCCAGTGATGGGCAGATTCGATGACATTTGGCTGCCAAACTGATTAGGCAGTTAATTTAGTGGGCAGATTGATGATGCTTGGCTGAATATCTATTGAATTATGTTGCTGTTAAGCTTTCAATCGCGCGTGACGAGAAATATACAAGTTCATTACACTAAATGGCATCATTGCGAGTCGTTGACATAGTGTCGATTGGTCAGCCGCTTAGAAGAGTGTGGAAGAGCTTTCTCAGGGTACGGCCAGACTAAAAGCGAGAAAGCTGAAGCGCGCTGGCGCGTGCAGGTGGCCAGACACAACGCGAGGTGGCGCGACAAGTCAAATAAAATTTAGACAAGTCAAAGTAAATTTTCAACAATCGTCTACCAAGAGCCCGGCGATGCGTTGAGCGCGCGTTTGGCATTATAAAATAGAATAGAAGTGTCGACACTGAAGGAATAGGCCCATGGCCTGTTCGATTCTTGTAATTTTCGTGACTTGATTCACAAGGGATCCGGCCTTTGGAACCCGATCTTTCCATAACTGACGATTGATTGAGATAGCTGCTGGACTTATTGTCAGGTCCGTAAGTTGCTAGGCATTTTAAGACTGAACATATGCTCCTGCATAGCTTCGTCTAGTCTTATTGCCTGGTCCGTAATTTGCTGGGCATTTTAAGACTGAACATATGCTCCTGCATAGCTTCGTCTAGTCTGTTCTTAAAGGCGTTCATACTCGGAGCGTCAACGATGCTATAATGACCGGAAAGTCTAGATTACTAACGAAGTCTATCGAAACAAGTGTTGAACATGAAACAGTAATTGTAAAAGCCATTTGTGCTTTACACAATATGATCCTAGCTCGAGAAGGCATCGACACTGAAGCAGCAACAGGTGTCGAGGATCACGGTGAAATATTAAATACCAGAACACCAACTGCTGAAAAAAAGCCCGAGGTATGCTATCAATGTTCGTAACCTGACTACATAATTTACTTCTCCATTTGGGAGTGTTTCATGGCAGGCATTCATCTAGATTATAAATATAAGGTTACTACTAGTACAAACGTAAATGAAACAAAATTATGTTTTATTGACCTTATCCGGAATACTCAATGCATCACATATCTGCGACCAGCTATCATCGACGTACTGACGATCTCTGTGCTTGTGGTGCTAGGCGTCCCAGATAGCCGGCACGGCTTGGATGGAGCAGATAAAAGGTTCGACACCCTCCTCGACGACGTCTCAGGGGCAACTGCACGCGCGTGCTCGCGGGCCTCGCGCTTGTATATTTAACTCAACAAATCTGCAAGCTTCCCGCCTCAGCAAGCGCCGCGGGTGCTTGTGTGAGCGCGCCTCCTATCTGGCCACCCCTTCAGGCCCTACAAGATGCCATGAATCAAAAGTGGTAACTGGAAATATTTTGAGGCCATAGGCGTTGCAAACTTTGTGGCGATATTTACAAGTTCAATGATGGCCTCACACCGGGCATGCGTAGAGATGTCGGACAAATTCAAGAATCGGCAACAGGCCAAGGGCCTATTTCTTCAGTGCCGACACTTCTATTCTATTCTAAATTTACGGCCGGACTCGCGGTCGGTCTCACTGCCAATCTCCAAATTCAATGACCAAGGAATATCTTCCAAATTAATGAACGTAGCTCGATGAAACTTGGTATACGTATTCATTAGGACTTAACGGTGATGGTTAGCTCGTGAACATTTTTTCCCTTTCACCTTCATTCGTGAGTTATAGAGCGGTTCTGGCCGAAATTTGCAGTTTTTTCCAAAATATACACGTACAAAAAAGTCGCAGATTTCTTACATTTCAAATGTGTACCAAGTTTTAAAATGATCCGTCCGTCAATAAAAATGTTTTTTGGCCAAGACGCTCCCCTTAAACCCCTATTTAAACCGGGACGTCTCGTCTCGTTATCGCCCCGAAATTCCCACGGAGTGCCGGTTGTGGTCCTGGTTTTTATTGCTAACCGGGACAAACCCTGTTGTCACGTCTCGAATGGAAACGAAAGGACCGAACGCAGGAGTCTACTATGTGGTAGTGTGCTTAAACTTTATTTGTTAAATCAACAGTATCAAATGTATTTTTAAGAGCCAACAAAAATTGATCACTCCAAGGCGTTTCAAATAATTATTAGAGTGTTGAAAAACAATAATGAACTCGATGCACTATCGCTTTTTCTACACTTAGTTTCAAATTTTAACTTCCTTCTCAAACTGTTAGCTTTTCAACGTGGAAGATCATTACCTTCTATAACATAGCTGTGCATTTTTCCGCCTTCTTGTTTTGCTTTGTAACTACCCCCAAAGTTTAGACTAGATATATCTCTCGCCTGGTAAAATACAAGTATAGCTTTATGACGTTAAATTCCCTTGAGAGAGATCTGATCAAATGATCTGTCTTCAGATCACTTGCAAGCAAGTAACGAGCTTTGCCGCAATTGGCGACTGGCCAGACTTAGTTAAATTTCGACTAAATGGGGCCCCCAAATCGGCAAAATTACGAAAAATGGCCCCCACCCACATAAACGAGAAATTCGAAAAAAGCTACGACCAATAGGTAGCTATGGTCTTTACGCATCGAATGATATGCGTCTTGATGTTGTAGCTTGGAAATCCTAGGAGGAGATAGATTTCTACAAAACCCCCTTTTTGGCCGTTTTCTAAGAATTTCACGTTTTCGTTCGTTTTGTAAAAAAATAGACACGAACAAAGAAGTCTTATATTTCTGTTTCACACATGTGTAATAAGTTTCAAAGTGATCCGTCGGTAAATAATAAAGTTTTTCCCAGACCCAGACGCTCCCTTTACCTTCAAAGTGAAGGCTACTATGCAGTGCTACTATGCTGCTTTTTTTTAAGTATAAATTGTCTCCATTCCTGTTTGACATAATTATTTCTCATTCCCAGTTGCTCTGCAAATGTTTTGCGCTAATATTGTTTTATGTCCACATTGTTTTCTCTGGTTCGGGGGCAAGGAGCGGAGCGACTCACGCGCGTGTAGCGCCCATAGGCTTNATGTCAGGAGGTGTTCAGTTCGGTTAAGTTATGTTAGGGTTTTTTGGCTAGGTAAAACTAATGTAAGATTGTTTTAAACACTAATGATACACACAGGAAAAGGCCACAATTGGGGGATTGCTGTGTGTAGTAGGAAATGTGTGGCAAAAAGAAGAAGAGAGAAAAATAAAAAAAAAAATAAAAAAAAGTATAGCGGCTGATCTGGTTCAAGGGAGCAACTTGACAAGCACAACATGCGCGCCGGCAGACATGAGCAACATGCGGCTGTCATTGCGCTTCTACAGAGCACTCGATCCCGACAGCCCCCGCTGGTTCCTCAACGCCACCGAGTTTGGCCACTTCGACTACTGCAACCTTCTCTTCCAGGTAGGATGATGTATGCAACCTACTCTTCCAGGTAGGGTGATCCGGTGATGTATTCAACCTACTCTTCCAGGTAGAGTGATGTATGCAACCTACTCTTCCAGGTAGGGTGATTATGTGCAACCTACTCGGGGTGGGAAGATACATGAACCTACTCATCGAGGTGGGGTGATCTTCGATTAGGTTGCAAATCACGAATGTGATTTTCACACATTTCGAATCACAACATTTCATTCGTAGGGTTTTCGCTCACCTTTAACTACCAATCTGAGTTTCTTGGAGGAAGTATTTGATGCCGACGGGTAAGTTTCAATGTCATTTTCGGCCAACGCATTACGGACAACACTCGAAGCCATTGAGAACAGAAGGCTGAGAGCCAATCTACCTAGCCCAGCAAGAGATACACTGGCGTGACTATACATTTCGACGTTCCAAACAAGCTGCGCAACTTGTACGCTAGAAGCACTTATGACAGTTGCACCCTAAGAGTAGTGTCTTGAGAAATTCCGAGCAAGTCTTCTATTTCTATTGGAGAAATGTTCTTAACGGTGTCCTCAACAGTGAAAGAATAGTTGCCATCGCTTGTTTCGCGTTTCCCGAGATTGTTAATTCGAACACTTGTGCACTTAGTGTGCACTGTGCAACTTTGTCAATTTCTAACGTTTTGGCATAGCATTCTCTACAAACTCAAGTCAAAAGATCATTCGATTAACATTATTCATATATAACATTTTATTATTTTTATCACATAGAGTAGTTCAGATAATTTGTTGCGCGAAAGAAGCTCATTAACGTGATATAATCAAACTTAAAATTCATAAAATCTAAAGAGCTGTAATTGTGCAAATTACGATAAACAACGTGACGCTGAACTACATGCACGACGTGAACTGAAAATTTATTGTATCATTAATTTCTTCGAAAGAATCCTTCCCGTAAGTCGAGGTATCAAAGTCTGGAAAAAATTGTGTGGGCACTGTCGGGAAGTGGACTCCTACAGCAATCATGTATGGACTTCGTACTTGTCCAGGTGGTCCTGATCACATAATTGTGATACTGTACACGTGCCTATGTTGCTGACTTTCCATCTTACTGCTAATTTTCGGGCTTTAGTTAGTTGTCATTTTTATTTTCATGCTGAGGTACAGATTTGTTTACCATGTTCTTCATTATCTCAACCGCTTTCGACTGACGATAATTTTTTGTTCGTTTCTAGTTTTCATTTCTTGTCACTTGCTTTCTCTCTTTCGAGTATTCTACTGTCGGCAATTTATTCTTTTGATCCACAAGCAACACTATTTCCTGCTATATGATAATAACCCCACTACCAGACCTCACATGGCTGCCCGTCTTGCGCAGGAAGCGGCTGCGGTATCGCACTTCTGCGCCACCAACCGGGAGGCTGGCCTCCTTGAGTTCAGCAAGTACCGCAGCTTCGTGCCCGGCACCGCCGTCGCTTTCTTCTTCAGTAAGTCTTCTTCAATAAAACTTGCAATTATATTTCGTTCCTCATCAATAGTATAATCATTCATATAAATTGAAGCGCATAACGTTGTAAGTAGTGACTATTTTATGCGAGTAGTTTTGATGGATCGCAGTTAACACCATGCTCTCGAATTGCTTGCCTAATTCCTGCAATTGATTCTGGTGAAAATATTCCAGTGTTTTGGTTAACCGATCGCGTAACTCGCCTACTAATTAAACGTTTAGAACACCACAATATTAACAAAGTTATCCGGTTTACTTTGATTCTCAGGGAAAGCGAATACTATATTTGTGTGTTTCATTATTATGCCTCAGGTCTCTTGGAGGATGACTGCCAGACGTATCTGCCGTACCTGCAAGACACGTCCGCAATGCCTGTCGCGGTCGTGGGAGAATACGTCAACCAGGGGGAGGCCACGGGCCAGTGTCCAAGGGGCTACTGCTCCAGAGTCCCATCTGTGGATCAGAACTAAGGACATCATCATGAAAATAAAGCAATGATACTGAGGAAAATGAGGAACCAGTCATAAATACGTAGCACAGCAATAAAACATCACGAAAGCAATGAATAAAATTACACAATATTAGGCACTACTCCTACATGGAAATCCAAAATAGAAGAGCAGAGTTTTCTATAATGCATTCCTTCGGCTATCGGTACTAGTAGTATTTTCGCCATAACTAACTACACTCGTATAGTCGTAACTCGCGGCTGTTGTTTTCTCTCCACTGATCAATATACCGGACGCACCTCAATCATACTTGTTATGGTAAAAAACCACACGTGCAGTACAATTTCCTTTAATTAACGCAATTTTTGTCAGATTTAATTTATAATTACATAGTTTAAATAAATCTTCTGTTGTTATTTTATGACTGAGGAGCGAGGACCTTAATATTGGTGAGAGCGAGCGCTCCACTCACACCCAAATAAAAAAATTTTCAGCAAGAGAAACACTCAGGAGCTGCAGTTAAAAACATGGCACTAAAATTCGAAACACTTTTAACTAGTATTGAAAATATCAAGGTAGGGGAACTATAGGCTGGAGAATGTTACAATAGATATTAATGAATTCATACGTAGTTTTCTTTGGTAAGGGACATGTTTATTCTTTCTCTAGGGAATTTTGGCAATCGTTGGCATCCAAACAAAATAGTGCTTGAGCTGTCTTCGTGTATGCAGATCGCAATAAAAAAGCTACCGTTAATTGTGCCTGCGCCAACTGGTCCGAAAATCATTCGTCGATGGAGCGAATATCCTTACTGAAGGATTAAAAAGGAGTTTTGAAACACTACGGTCGAAGCACGAATGCCTCACTGCATGGCGACGTTCATGTAGCGTAGATACAAATCTGTTAATAGTACCAAATAGCTTCAACTCTCATTTCCACACGCAGATCCAGGAAAAGACCAGGGCCTGGTAAAAAATAGAACCAAGGCTATTTAGCATTGTACAGGAATTTGTGCTCACACTGTAAATAGTGTTCAAAAGAAACAGTGATATACAAAGAAGAAATAACAGGAATATATATAGAAATTATGAACAGCTAAACCTAAAAATTTAGCTTGGGGGGGGGGGTTGTTTCGCGAGTAGCCAAACAATTATGGGCAAATTAGAAATGAATTCAAAATGAAATATGCCTCAAAACTACGAAAAATCAAATTATGCAAGTCGTCGTAGAAATTTTTTGGAAATTTGGCAGGTTGAGTGTCAACGAGGAAAAGAAAGCCAGCGTTGCAGTCTGGTACTGACGAGCTAACACCCTCAGCAGCGGTGGACGCGTACAGCGTAATATTCAGGTCATATTACCAACCACTGCTGTCCTAATAAGCACGTGCTTAAATTTTTGGAAGATGAGAGAATAATTTGACTTAATTACATTATTAATATATTATTTGTCGTAGCAATGAAAGTCCTCTCCCCCGGGCGTGCGCTCATCGAGCCTCCACCTCAAACCCCGCCGAATACATGGCCACGTTTTTGGCCGAAGATTTAATGGCGGGAAGTAATAATGTACGATTATTTGTGGTACACTGTTAGAAAAAAACGGCGAAAAAACGGCCCAACTGGCGTTCTAGTGGCCGGCCGCCCCGTGAAAATAAGCTGTTTCGCCGTTTTTATCAGATGTTTTACGGATTTCTAGTGTTAAATTAGAATAAAAACGGCTAAACGGTGTTTCTTTTCACGTGCCGACCGGCCACTGAAACGCCGGTAATACCGTTAACGGTAATTTTTCTAACAGTGTATATAATATTGCCAGGTGATACCCGCTTTGGTAATTGAGGGAGATCCACGTGAATGACCAACACTTAAGGAGCTACTTTAATTTGTTAGTGAGTTTGTTTTTACTTCGGAAAAATGCTTACTGTCAAACACAAGATAATTTCATCGTTACAGAAAAATGAATCGGTCACAATGTAAAAATACTGACACACTTTTCAGCACGTAGCACCATTATTTTTATTATTATTATATTATTACACGATCACCTTTAGGACAAGCCTAATTGGGTCAGGATGGCCCATATACAAGGGGCAAAAAGTGAATCGATATTTGGGCAAAAAATCACTAAATCTTACCAGTTACTGTTTAGTATTGATGATATTGAATCAAACTACGTTTAAAATAATAATCAGGGAAGAATCAATACTAGGGCATTACCCTCCAGGCCATAACGTTGAAACAACGCCAGTGTTTCAGCGATTTCATTCGTCCATTGGACGACTACATCTCTCTCATGGAGAGGCAAAAATGTAATGGCTGTCGCCGTCTCCGTATTTGCGACAACACGCTGCTCAATTTATTCGCCACCACATTATACATACTGAACAAGAGAAAATTTCTTGACACTAACTACGCTATTTCTGCAAGCTTCATGTTCCACAAGCAGCTTGGATAGTGAAGCTCCAATAATTAAATTTATGTATCCACTATCCAAAAAAAGCTCTTTTTGAACAGTTTTTAAATGTTGAAATGGTCTTTATAAAATGTCCACTTCATAATGTAACCAGACGAAAGGTGGAAGAATTTAGGATCTTTTGAAATAGTGAATCGCATAACATTGATTTTCGTCATCAGTTGATGTGCCTCCACTCAACACGAAATACTGCCGTCTTAATGACTTATTTCCCATATATGTAATAATGCATAATGTATATTCATATTTCGAAAAAGGAAATTTCACGGTTTTTACCCAATCTTGAGCCATCGTTTCCTCACATGAACCTCTTGACATTCAAAATTGTTCACATTGCAACAAAGTTTCTGTACCACTGCACCGAAACTCCATAAAAGAAGATAATTCATTGCTATGATTGATAGTGACGGTAAAATGTTATAGCTTTATATTTGTTCGCTGTACTGGGTTGAAACATGGTTATCTGGTAGCAGACACGGATCTAGGTAAAATTTCTCAGCGAAAGTAGCGACTTAGAAGATAATGCGCGAATTGAAGCCACACGCAAGAAAAATGATCTATTCATGAATAGAGCAACGCACAACACAGCTGCCCCAACATCGACTCAAGTGCGAAGAGACAATTAACGTATCTTTAGTAACACATCTTTAATGTGTTACTGGATTAAAACATGATAATTTGGTCAGAGTTTTGGAACTTGGTAGAATTTTGCAGTAGGTATTACAATAATTTGTATAATAAGCGACAGCTCTGGTAGAAGACTAAAAGAGAAGGGTTTAAACGGAAGCGTGGAGGGTGTGGAATGATGAAATTTAAAAGAATTCATTAGCAATCTAGAAGTTGTAGTGCCTGTGGCGCTAAACAGCAATAATATATTCGAAAAGTGCAGATATACAAATAACTGGTTTGATCTCGGTCAGTTACCCCTACCACTCGTCCAACTCGTGCTCTCTTTCACCCCTAATCTAGCATTCCCTCGCATTTAAGATAAGAGGATTTTGTGTGCACGTACATGTGTGTGTATAGAAATACAACGGTGTGTTCGCGTATGAGCAGCGACATCGCTCGTACACACACAATGTCCACTCGGAATATAATTGTTGATATGTTGATGTCCACTTTGAATGTGATATGATTGCAGCTGATCGATGCATAAGGTCTGACATTGCATAGGTCACGGTGTTCCTATGGTATTCCTATGCTGCCGTGTTTTTTAAAAGTAAAAATCGTCTTCCTTCCTATAAGATATAATTATTTCTATTAATTATTAATTATAATAATTATAATTATTAATTATAATAATTATCCAGTTGCACTGTAAATGTTTTTAGCTCATCTTGTCTTATGTCCACATTGTTTTCTCTGGTTTTAGGGAGCAACTTGACAAACACAACATGCGCGCCGGCAGGCATGACCAACATGCGCTTCTACAAAGCACTCGATCCCGCGACAGCCCCCGCTGGTTCCTCAACGCCACCGAGTTTGGCCACTTCGACTACTGCAACCTTCTCTTCCAGGTAGGGTGATGTATGCAACCTACTCTTCCAGGTAGGGTGATGTATGCAACCTACTCTTCCAGGTAGGGTGATGTATGCAACCTACTCTTCCACTCTTCCAGGTAGGGTGATGTATGTAACCTCCTCTTCCAGGTAGGGTGATGTATGTAACCTCCTCTTCCAGGTAGGGTGATGTATGCAACCTACTCATCCAGGCAGGGTGAAGTAAGCAACATACTCATCCAGGTAGGGTGATGTATGCAACCTACTCTCCCAGGTAGGGTGAAGTAAGCAACATACGCATCCAGGTAGGGTGATGTTTATCTGCCGTACCTGCAAGACACGTCCGCAATGCCTGTCGCGGTCGTGGGAGAATACGTCAACCAGGGGGAGGCCACGGGCCAGTGTCCAAGGGGTTACTGCTCAAGAGTCCTACCTGTGGATCAGAACTAAGGACATCGTCATGAAAATAAAGCAATGATACTGAGGAAAATGAGGACCCAGTCATGAATACGCAGCAAAGCAGAACAACATCACGAAAGCAATGAGTAAAATTGAACAATATTAGGCACTAATCATGCATGGAGATCCAAAATAGAAAAGATAGAATTTTCTATAATGCATTCCTTCGCCTGTCTTCACTATTAGTATTTCATAACTAACTTCCATCGCAAAGGAGTAACAGTCTGATAATCTGAATAATAAAACAGCTATTTCTTCATAAACTGTGGCATTATGATAAAATATGTAATCCTAGTATTAAACCTGTTAACATAAAAAAATTGCACAACAATGTTACTGAAGCGTGCGACTTCATTTTTGAGATGTGCGCGGCTTTTGTTTTCTCTCTACTGATCAGTATACCACGCACATATCAATCAAACTTATTGTGTGTAAAGAATTCAAACAGGACGATTCCAATTAGATTCGGAAATTAACCCCAAACTCAAAGCTGCCACCGATCCTGAACAAAGGAGAAATGAAAGTTGGTTAACAAATATTTATTAACCAAAGACAACAAAACACAACTATGAATAACGGAACAGCTAACTAATAAACAAGTTTTAGCACGAACAGAGAACACAGGCCAAATAGTACCCGGTACTGAGAGTACACGCAACTGAGGAGATTAGCAATTAAGGATACACGTAACTAAGGACACAATATGATGAAGGCAATGTGCCGAGGACACAATATGCTGAAGGCAATGTGCTAAAGACACAATATGCTGAAGGCAGTGTGCTATAAAGGACACGATATGCTGGAGACAATATGCTGAAGGCACAATATGCCGGGAAACGCAATATGCTGGAGACCCAATATGCTGAAGGCGCAATATGCCGAAGACGCAATATGCCTAAGACACAATGCGCCGCATATACAATATGCTGAAGATGCAATATGCTGAAGACACAATGTGCTGAAGACACAATGTGCTGAAGACAAAATACTGAAGACACAATGTGCTGAAGGTACAATATGCTGAAGGGTAACACGACAAGAAGACCCGGTACAGCATCAGCTGTGAATATAACTTTTCACAGGAATTGACGACAGCTATTATTTAAAGGACCATAATCGTACAAATAGTAGGTACTTAGTGTGTTACTATCATAGAAGCTCATTGGATGCAATTATTTCCCATTAATAATTCGTTGAAGAATTAACGAACAATAATTCCCTATATCTTTACAAACATTCATTCTTTGTTCTCGAATGATTTTTGCAAAGTTATAAAGTAAATAAGTTTTATAGCGAAAGTAAGCAGCGAAAAGGTTAAAAAAACGCTACTAAACATGAAAACTTACACTGGTAATCACTAAACCATGTACAATGTACTACTACTTTTTAATTCTGATTCTTATATAAGTTTTAATGGAGTTATCTGACAGTTGTTATTCGAAAGGTCACAAGAACGATTATTTGCAAAAAATTAATCGTTGATGTAGAAGTGGAGCGCAAATCTTTATTTCGTTTGGTATTTCATAATATAATATTTTTAAAATTTGATGACTTGATTATTCTCACCATTGTAGTTTATTTTAAAGATATGCATTTCTAATAATCACCACCCTCGTAACACTTGTGGGAGGAGATTGGAGGAAATGGGAAAGGGAAGAGGGAGGCACTAATTGGCATCCCGTGGCCCTTTTAAAATACTGTACGACAACCAAACGATGGTGAAACGACTGTCAGGAAAACAAAATTTAGATGAATTCAATTATTTGAAATAATATGATCGTTCAAGTTGTAGTAAATGACAACTTAATAATAAATTGTGCTGTTTATGCATTCATTCTCTTCATATTTTAAAGCATAATTACGATTATCTCTTCGTAATCTGTACAAAAATTTCAGCGCGACCTCCCATTTATTTGGAAGGAAGAATCCATTACAACAAAAATCGAGGAAAGGAAACCACACTGAATAAAGCATTTATTAATTCGGAACTCTGTTCGTGGGAACACGCATCATAGCTTTAAAAATTATATATATCTAGATTTTTCTCTTTCATTATCATATGAATCATCCTATTTACAATCACAGTAATAATTATTTGAATCAGTATTTGAATTATTTGATAATAGTTGGTGGGGTTTTTCTTCAATTATGGAGTATCCACCGTATTATTATGAATATGAATGAATATGAATCAGTAATTCAGTATGACAGTAATTCAGTGGGCCGAGTCTGACATTAATATTAAAAAATTATTAAGCGATGTGCAAAGTATTGTTGAGGGCTCCTTTTAACCATGAAATTTTTTTTACAGAAGTAGAATGATATGAATGAATACATTGCTTAACCGTTTGTAATGAATTTCTGACATTTAAAATTTCAAGATCGACATGTATGCTCCCATGATTGCATAGTACCATATAGGTTTAGAATTAAATATGCTATATTCTGGCTCATTTAATTCAATAATTTGCAATAAAATAATCGTTTGTGTGGTAGCAAATGGGAAATTTTATATTAAATTGTGCTGTTTATGCATTCGTTCCCTTCATATTTTAAAACATTATTTCGATTAACTCTTCGTAATCATCTTGACGCATGATGCTCATTTACGATCACCTTAACAACATTTTCATATTATTGACGATGTATGGAAACATGTATTGTTAGTTTAGGCCAGTGGTTTCCAAAGTGGGCGATATCGCCCCCCTAGGGGCGGTGGAGATTTTGGGGGGCGGAGGAAGAATATGGCGGTAGGGGGGCGATAGGGGGGCAGTAGTCCGAAGTCAATGTCAGAAGTGTGAACGCTTGTTTGACGATTTGTACACAGCACATGCAGCACATGACTCCCAGCGATGGTTTTTTCACCCAGATCAGTTTTTCTAACCTCTCCTGGGCTTACGTCTCGGACAAATTAACGGCCGGACTCGCTGCCGGTCTCACGACCAATTTCCAAATTCAATGATCAAAGAATATCTCTCAAACTAATGAACTTAACTCGATGAAACTTGGTACACGTATTCATTAGGACATAACGATAATGTTTTGCTCGTGAAAATTGTTTGAATTTTGCCATCGTTTGTTTTTGCCATGATTATATGACAAGACGGGCCGAAATTCACAGTGATCAAGTAATTTCTTCCAAACTACTGAACAGTTTCGAACGAAATTTTGAATTTACAGTCCTAACTACCGTGCGGTAATGTTTAGCTCGTGAAAATTTTTTTCGATTGTGCCTTCGCTCGCGAGTTTTTTTTTTCATTTCACCTTCATTCGTGAAAAAGATCTATTTACCTAATAGCAGTTATGAAACGCAAGAATGGTTTCAAACTTCTCATTAACATAGTTTATCCGTGTAATAACATGCTTTCACCAAGGGATTAAGAAACAGAATTATCTCATTATACCTTTAATGTGTCGAGAAAATTAAATGTAATAAATACGTCACAATGTTTAACCATGTCTGGTTTTTGGTCTATAGATTTAGATAGGTATCATAGCGTGTTTCATAAATGCTACTACTATTGTTGGTTATTGTGTTTATTTACTATTTACTGAGAATACATACACTGTAAGTGCAATAACATAATTAAGACTTTTTAATTGACGTACGAGTGAATCCATGTTACTAAACTGATAAAATCTGTTAATAAAAAGTTACGAAGTATTATTTTCATTTTTTCGATGTTCGTGGATGGATATAATTTCTCCATTTCTTTATTATTTTCTCTAATTCTTAGGCCCCTTTCACACAGGGCGTGAAATGCCGCCGGCGTGAAAAAAACCGCCGCGGGATTTCCCGCCGAACCTCAGCGGACATACGAAATGTGCACTGCTATTCACACACGACGGCTTTTCACGCGGCGTGAAATTTCACGCTAAACTTTCGGCAGACATTCGAAAATAATTGGAGAATTTTACTTCATCTTCTCTTAATTTTCAGAATAGAGTGGCAAATTCACCTTCTTGTGGCCTTGATTTTACTATATTGTGAACCCAGCACCTCCTTTTATTTCTTTGCTGCCTTTTATGCAGCAAATATAAAAGGATAGCTTTCTTTTCTATTCATATATATAGTTCACAAAAACTGAGGACCACTTTTACGGAGAACAGCGCTGCAAGACTGATAGATTCCAGCGTGAAAAACCGCCCCGTGTGAAAGATAGCGCGGGAAATCCCGCGGCGGTTTTTTTCACGCCGGCGGGTTATCACGCCCTGTGTGAAAGAGGCTTTAAGATTCGGTCTTTGTAAAAAGAGCTTTTTATTTGCATAGGCAAGGTGCCTCTCTATATAAATCGATAAGCACTTCAGTAGCATCTCTGCTCCACTCTCCGTCGTGTGACATGGTCAAACAAAAAGCAAGGAGGCAGGCAATGATGCGTCTATTGGAGCGTCAGCCCAACACACAACCTACTCGAACGGCAGTCACAGCGACACTGCCGCTTGCCCGTCACGCAAGTCCAGTGAAAGATTGAACAGCGCTTCACTCCCCGTCACGCCAGTCTCGATGGTCGGGACTGCCTCAGTCCGGACTGAAAAAGCCAGTTTTTCAGGCGTCAGTC